CGCCTTCCTGCGGGCCTGCCTCCGCCGCCTGGTGCCCGCCGGCCTGTGGGGCTCCGGCCACAACCGCCGCCGCTTCCTGAAGAACACCAAGAAGCTGGTGGCCCTGGGGAAGTACGCCCGGCTGTCGCTGCGGGAGCTGACCTGGAAGGTGAAGGCGCGGGACTGCGCCTGGCTCCGCGGCCGCGCAGGTGAGCGGGGACACGGGGAGACACGCGGCGCCGAGGTGTCGGTGTGGGGAGCCCCGGGCGCCGCTGGGTGCTTGGCAAGAGCCAGGATTCCTGGCACCGTGACGGGGGTGGATTCTGTCTGATCTCTGCCTCGGGCCCCCCTCGGGGTCAGTGGGCAGACACATCCAGACTCCCGCCTGCTTTCCTACCCGCCAGGCACTTGGGCTGGACCCAGGGGCCAGAGGAACAGCTGGGACACCCCTGGCCAGGGGCAGCAGGCCTCCCGGAGCTCGGCCCGAGAGGTCAGCACCTACACGCCCAGCCCCTCACCTGTAGCCTGAGGGCTGCCCTGGAAGCAGTGCTCTGCCGATAGACAGGCTCTCATCTTCAGGGTACTGCTGCATTAAGGTTTTGTTTTTACCTCGGTTCCTGGGGCTTGAACTCAGGGCATGTGCTGTCCCTGGGCTTCCTTTGCTCAAGCGAGGCTACCACTCTGCCACTTGAGCCTGCTCCACTTGGGCTTCATTTTGGTAGTTTAGTGGAGATACCAATCCCAGGCTTTTTGGCCCTGGCGATCCTCAGATCTCAGCCTCCTGAGTAGCTGGGGTTAGTTAGAGGCATGAGCCATCAGGGCCTGGTTTGCTTTACATCTTGACTCCCTCCCCGACTCCTTCCTTATGCAGAGCCCTTCCTTTGCTCCAGTCCATGACCCTGGAGGGCTGATCCTTAGCTGCCATCTTTCCCTAAGCTGACTATGCACTTCTAAGGACCCGAGGAGGGGGAGGGTGGCGGCCGCGGCCAGGCTGACTGGGACCTGGCTGTGCGTCCATGCTCGGCCATGCCTGCCTCCCCCTGGTTTCTGGATTTGATGTTGAGATTGGTCCACTCCAGTCTCTCCCTGCTCTGTCTTCTGGTCAGCAATTGTTTCAGGTGTGGAAGAAACCACCTCCACTTCCTTATTAAGATGGAACGGCAGCCAAAGTAGACCAGGCTTGCTTTCCATTTAATCTCTCCCTCAGACTCCCAGGACATTTACAGCTCCTAAAAGAAAGATGGCAGAGCCATCTTCCCAAGGTAGCCTTTGAAACCCACGCCCCATCCTCAGAGACACATCTGGCCACAAAGAGCAGGTTGCTCACCGGCTGGAAAAACGCTATGGGCAACAGCTTCGCACCCTGGGGCTTTGCCCTGCCTGCGGCTGGTCCAGCAGCAGCGTTAGGCCTCCCTGGCCCGTCAGCCGGGGCTGGCCACTGTGCTGCCTGTGGCCCCTGCCCTGCTCTTGGGCAGTCCACACCTGCTGTCCAGCGTTGCTGAGGACGGTGCCACAGGACTGCAGCCGAAGGTCATGAGGGCCTCCCACTTGGCCTTTGTCCCCAGCCTTCCCCAAGCACAGGGTCGGCAGCACTGGCTGCACAGCTGTGAGCGACTGTGTCCGGGCTCTGTTCAGTCTCCCGTCGCTGGTCCAGCTGCACAACCGCTTTCTCTCTTGAGGTGTGGTTGAATGTCTCTCTGCTGCTCCTAGACTCCTGTTTGTTGGCTCTTAGTGTGAGTTCCAGTGTCTGTGGGAACTTACTAGTCCTGCCAGGTCTTTCTTTTGGGTTTCGTTAATTCATCTGATGTTTATAGTCTCCCTCCCTCCCTCCCTTCCTGTGCCAGTATTGGGGCTGGAACTCAGCGACTGAGCACTTTGTGTCAGCTTTTTTTTGTTCAAGGCTGGTACTCTACCACTTGGGCCATAAGTCCACTACCAGCTCTTTGGTGCTTAATTGGGATTAAGAGTCTCATAGAAGCCAAATGCCTACTCAAGAAGCTGAGATCTGAGGATTGTGGTTCAAAGCCAGCCTGGGCAGGAAAGTCTGTGAGATTCCTATCTCCAGTTAATCACCAAAAAGCTGGAAGTGGGGCTGTGGCTCGAACGGTAGAGTGCTAGCCTTGAACACAAAAGCTCAGGGTCAGTATCAGTATCCAGACCCTGCTGGGAACCTAGCTCAGTGGTAGAGCACTTGCTTAACATTACCAGGGCTCTGGGGTCAAACCCCAGCACTCCAATAAACAAAACATGAGCCAGTGGCTCACGCCTGTAATCCTAGCTACTCAGGAGGCTGAGATCTGAGAATCGGGGTTCAAAGCCAGCCCGGGGAGGAACGTCCGCGAGACTCTTGTCTCCAGTAAACCACTAGAAAACCGGAGGTGGCGCTGTGGCTCAAGTGGTAGAGTGCTTGCCATGAGCTGAAGAGCACAGGGACAGCGCCCAAGCCCAGAGTTCAAGCCCTACGACAGATAAAAACAACAACAACAACAAAACATGAAGTAGCACTGCTAAAAGTATGGAAAGAAAAGTAAGCAAAAGAACAGAGGCTAGGGCTGGGAATGTGTCTCAGTGGTAGAGCGCTCGCTAGCATGTGTGAAGCCCACGATTCCATTCCTCAGTACCACAGAGCTGGAAGTGGTGCTGTGATTCAACTGGTAGAGTGCTAGCCTGGAGTGCAGAGAGGCTCAGGGACAGAGCCAGGCCCTGAGTTCAAGTTCCAGTACCGGCAGAGAGAAAAAAAATAAAAGAACAGGTTAATTTATGGTATAACAGCTAATAAAGGATTTGCTTTTCTTGGTCTGAGTCCTGGGGCTTGAACTCGGGACCTGGGCACTGTCCCTGAGCTTTCTATCAAGGCTAGCATGCTACCACTTGAGTCACAGAGCCACTTCCACCTTTTTCTGAGTGGCATATTGGAGATGAGAATCTCAGAGCTTTCCTGCCCAGCCTGGCTGTACTGTGATCCTCAGATCTCAGCCTCCTGAGTAGCTAGGATCACAGGCGTGAGCCATTGATGCCTGGCCCCACTCCATTTTTTTTTAGCTGCTCTAAGTGTTGGTGGACTAGGCTTGCTTTTGATTAGTAGTTGCCTTCTGTATCTTTTTTCTTCTAATTACTGCTTTCAAACTTTAACTGTTTTAGTTTAGGTGCATCTTTTCAATGGTGTACAGATATTTGTTGCAGACCTAGCTTGACAGTTGTTGTTTAACTGGATGGCTGAGTGTGTGACTCATGAATGTGTTCTTCTGCCTGTAGTTCTGGGACTTACCCCAGGACCCTGCACATGCCAGGTGTGTGCTCTTTTGCTGAGTCCTTGGGTTTTTGTAGTTTAGGCTGTCCTTGAACTCATGGTCCTTATGCCACAGCCTCCAGAGTTCTGGGCAGATGCCACCCCTTTTCAGTTTCCTTCCTTCCCCCCTCTCCTCTTCCTTCCTTCCTTCCTTCCTTCCTTCTCTCTCTCTCTTTCTTTTTCTCTCTCTCTCTCTTTCTTTCTGTCATGGGGCTTGAACTCTGGGCCTGGGTACTGTCCCTGAGCTCTTCAGCTCAAAGTGAGCTCTCTACCACTTGAGCCACAAAATCACTTCCAGTTTTCTGGTTAACTGGAGATAAGAGTCTCATGGACTTTCCTGCCTGGGCTGGCTTTGAACCTCGATCTTCAGATCTTAGCCTCCTAAGTAGCTAAGATTACTGGCATGAGCCACTGGCGCCTGGCTTTCAGTTTGCTTTCTGTATGCTTTATACTTTGTTTTCTTGTCATCTTTTGGATAACGATAAACATTTACTTGCTCTGTTTTTGTTCTGTTTTTGCCAGTGGGTAGTTAGAAGTTATGTATACTGTTGCTTTTCTTAGTTGTTTCCTATATTTTTAACTAAGTTTATGATGTCACCTTTCCCCTGAGCAGTAAGGGCTATAGCATATATGGGAACTTAGATTACCACTTCAGTTAAGGTGCTATTTTCCCTTCTTAGATCTATCTTGGGTGCCTTATCTCCAACTTAAACTATTGTTTTCTAAGGTCGTTTTCTACTTTATATGTATTTGTGTGCGTGCGTGCGTGCGTGCGTGTGTATATATATGTATATATACATACATACAAGTATACATTGTCAGTACTAGAGTTTGAACATGGGGGCCTTGCACTCACTTGACTTGCTTGCTCACAGCTGTTTCTCTACCATTTTAGCTGTGCCTCCAGGCCAGCTTTTTTTCTGATTAACTGCCAGTGGAGTCTCAAGGACATTTCTATCCCATGCTGGCTTTGAGCCATGATCCTCCAAGTCTTAGCCTCCCGAGCAGGTAGCTGGGATTATGGGCATGAACCACCAGCGTGCTGCTTTGCTTCTTTGTGGCAGCAGCAGCACTGTAGGTAGTGGGGAGTACATTCTACCTTTTCCAGTCTGTGTCAAAGCCATCGTGTTCTGTAGGAGTGTGATCTGAGAGGCGTGCATGTGTGTGTGTGTATTTTTGTTCCTGTACTGTGATTTGAATGCTTAGCTTTGTCCCTTAGCTTTTTTGCTCAAAGCTTACCACCGAGTGCTCTACCACATTAGCAATAGTTCCCTTTCCAGTTTGCTTTGGCAGTTATTTGGAGATAAGAATCTCAAGGTTTTCCTTCTAGGCTGGCTGAGAACTTCAGTCCTCAGATCTCAGCTTCCTGAGTAGCTAGACTGACAGGTATGAACCACTAGTGCCCAGCAGATAAGTGTAATTTTAAGTCTTCCAGTAGCAGTGCTATACACACACACACAGGAAAGATGTAACTGGCTTAACGCTGTATTTGGTCAGAGCCTGGCAGGCTCTTGGCAGGGTGGACGGAAGATGCCGTCCATCACAACTCCATGTCCCGTGCAGTGGGACATGGGCCTCGCGTTGGAGGTTGAGGATCTGCGTGGACTGAGTCCTTCCGCATCTCTGGTTCCAGGGGATGGCTGTGTACCCGCTGCGGAGCACCGTCGGAGGGAGGGCGTTCTGGCCAAGTTCCTGTTCTGGCTGATGGACACGTACGTGGTTGAGCTCCTCAAGTCCTTCTTTTATGTCACCGAGACGACGTTCCAGAAGAACAAGCTCTTCTTCTACCGCAAGAGTGTGTGGAGCCAGCTGCAAAGCATCGGAGTCAGGTACCATGGACGCCGCCTCGCCGGCTTTGTGATGCTGCAGGCTCAGAGCTGTGGGCCCCGGCGGAGTGCAGCAGGGACCCGATTCAAGTCCTGACCTAGCTGGCCAGGGTGGGTGCACCAACTGCCCGGAGACCCTACATTCTTGCCTGAGAAGTGAGAAGTTCGGGTAGTCTGTCTCGGCTCCCTAGTGTACAGGGAATTCAGGCTGAATGAAAGTTGCAGTGGGCAAACACTGCGCATCCTGGGACGGTGTCAGCTGACAAGCTGCCGCCACCATCGATCCTACAGGAGGATTTGGGGAGGAGCCGGTGTGGGGCGGCTGGGTGTTGGCTAGTTCTGCCTGCAGCCAGGGGCCAGGTGACTGACGTCCCCTGGCGCTCCCTCTGCTCTGATGGGAACCTGTGGTGCCACGCCACCCTCCGCTCCTCTCCCGTGTCTCTATCACCCTGCTCTCCTCTCCCGTGTCTCTAGCACCCTGCTCTCCTCTCCCGTGTCTCTAGCACCCTGCTCTCCTCTCCCGTGTCTTACCATGCCAGCCTCCGCTCCTCTCCCATGTCTCTAGAACCCTGCTCTCCTCTCCGGTGTCTCTAGCACCCTCCGCTCCTCTCCCGTGTCTCTGCCACCCTCCGCTCTTCTCCCGTGTCTCTGGCACCCTGCTCTCCTCTCCTGTGTCTCTGGCACCCTGCTCTCCTCTCCCGTGTCTCTAGCACCCTGCTCTCCTCTCCCGTGTCTCTGCCACCCTCCGCTCCTCTCCTGTGTCTCTAGCACCCTACTCTCCTCCCCCACGTCTCTAGCACCCTGCTCTTGTCTCCGGTGTCTCTGGCACCCTGCTCTCCTCTCCCGTGTCTCTGGCAGCCTGCTCTCTCCTCCCGTGTCTCTAGCACCCTGCTCTTCTCTCCCGTGTCTCTGGCACCCTGCTCTCCTCCCCCGTGTCTCT